AGTAGCTTATACTCAAATTCTCTACTATTTCTCAAACTACTTCTTAAGTGCATAAAAAATGCGTATGGCTGGCTCATGCTCACTAATGCACTTATGGAATGCCAATATGCAATGTTGCAAGAATTAAGGTTTACTAATCATACTCATACTTCTCTTAGGCATTTCATCAAACAACTCATGTGCGTATAAAAACTCTATTATAATTACTACTCTACTTCATTCTCTAGCCATCCAAAATGGGGGAAAACTCCCTCATATAGCCATAGTCCTAGTCAAGAAAAGCACTTCCAAAAAGGGTTTACACAAAATCTCTCAAACTTTATCTCAATACACATTAAAACGCTTCTCATACATGAAGTGTATCCAACAACCATAAAATAGATACTCATCTCAACTCAATTTCTCAACAAGCATAATACATATTTATACATGCATACATCTCTACTCAATCTCTACTCAAAGGTTTGTTTTTCAAATCTCAACTTGGTTGGATTTACTTACTTTGTGAATAAGTGACTTCTCTAACACTTCTCCTTTCCCTTGTTGTCTTGTCTTCTCTCTACAACTTTAAGCAATAACAATAACAACAATATAAGACTTCAATACAACTATAAGCAAACTCACATCTAAAGCAAGAATCCTTACCTTAGGATGCTTTAAATTCAAGCTCTACTAAAATTACCCCAAAAGCTCCCTAAACCTCCTTAGAAATCTTGGAAAATTGAATGGAGGATTGAAAGGAAGTAAAGAATGAGAATGGTGGTGGAAATGGGTGAAATGAAGGGTTTATTACACTTAACCCTTTTTAGCTCATATTATAACCATCCTTTCCCATTTTGCCCTTGCTCTTCCTTGGTAATTCCATCTATATCCTTTGATTCATTACACTCACACCCGCACACTAACCTATTCTCCATGAAATTTCCTTACATTTCACTCTCTACTTTTCCTGCTAATTAGGGGTAGAATGGTCATTTTGCCCCTATGGAGAATTCTCTAGAAACCTCAAGAAACTTTTCTGCCCTCCTGTCACTGCGGCGAAGAAAGTTCTGTCTCCCCGGCAAAAAATTATAGAATCGACATTGCAACACAAAGCTGACGTCGCCGCGACGAAGACTATTCTTTGCCTCGGCGAAGACTGTAATACCAAAATTCCTCAAATCTCAACCAATTTCAAGGCAAACACTCAACCAACTCAACATACCATTTCAACCAAAGACCAACCAACCAAAAATAACAACATACAAACTCAATTGAAGCTGGATCAATGAACATTTAAGTAATACAACAAATCTTAACTACGTACCTTAAGCGGGGCGTTACACGAAGGATGGGATGATGTGCCACAGAAGGCGGTTGAACATTATGAAGAGGTTACTCCATAACTTGTGGATTAAAGTGAACCACCCCAAGTAGCATAGGAGATACATAGATCTGGGAGAGTACGCCATGAGCCCGAGAGATACGGTTATCTTGTGACTCAATATAGTGACGTACTAGTCTACCAAGACGACGAACCCAGAACCTATGAAAACGCTATATCAGATCTAGATTACGTTAAATGGCTTGAAGCCATGAAATCTGAGATGGACTCCATGTACCAGAACCAAGTATGGTCTCTAGTGAAACCACCTGAAGGGGTAAAACGCATAGGGTGTAAATGGGTCTTCAAGAAGAAGACTGACATGGATGGCAAGGTGCATACTTATAAGGCATGACTGGTCGCAAAAGGTTTCAAACAAATTCATGGTATTGATTATGACGAAACTTTTTCGCCGGTTGCCATGATTAAATCCATCCGGATTATGCTTGCGATTGCTGCATATCATGACTATGAGATTTGACAAATAGATGTCAAAACAACTTTCTTGAATGGAAACCTTGAAGAGGATGTGTATATGATAAAACCCGATGGTTTCGTTTTGGATGGGCAAGTTGATAGGGTATGCAAGTTGTAGAGATCCATATATGGACTCAAGCAAGCTACTAGGAGCTGGAACATTCATTTTGATGAAGCCGTAAAAGAATTCGGTTTTATCAAGAACGAAGATGAGCCTTGTGTTTACAAGAAAGTGAGTTGGAGCGCAGTGGCATTCCTAGTGTTGTATGTCAATGACATACTTCTGATCGGGAATCATACACCGAACTTGCAGTCAGTAAAAACTTGGTTATCCAAGTGCTTCTCCATGAAGGACTTAGGGAAGCAACCTATATCCTTGGAATAAAGATCTATCGTGATAGATAGCGTAGGTTGCTTGGTCACGTAAATCATCATTGTATGTATTGGTATATGTCCTTAGAATGGTAGAACCGCGACGAGGGTATCAAGTGTTTCAAATCTTGATAGTAAGAACCCTATGAGTACATATGGTGGCCATTCTAGAAACGTCCGTAGTCCTAGTATTATTCTGAAGTAAGAGCACAGATAATACGATAAATCTATCATAGTGTTGAACGACCTTATCGAAAGGCAGTGACTGATCTCACTTGTCAAGGTTGTTTGGTGACAACCTGGTGCAACACATGGGTGTTTGCTGTAGGCAAGTTCACTGGACTAACCCACTAAAGGATTCCATATGGATGGTAACCAAGTGTCTATGGAACAAATCCTCTAATGAATAGTGGTGCATGTGATCCTTAGACTTGAGATCACTAGAGCGCCTTGTGTACTGATTGGTGCAGTTTGACATTGGCCCAACGCAGTTCTATTTAGAGCTATCAATGCGGTAGTGATTGGTTGCATCAAGGAGTGTATCAAGACTATGGTTGATTGACAAAGGATTCATCACTCTCGGGTACGGGGGGAAGTTATCTCACGACGTAATTCAGTAAATGACAATGACACTAAAACTGTGGCCACAATGGGATTGAGTTGTTACTCTATCCAGATTATTACTCAAGTCATTGGTCCAGTAACTGAATACATAATATCGAGAGTAACCAAAGGTTGACACTATTTCTATGCCTTGGTCTCGTTGAGATAATGGATGATGAAAGGATTAGTTTGTATGGTAACCATATTGTTGACAGGTAGCTACTTCGCTGAATCCGAATCTACCGGGTGGCCATGATGCCTTGCTAGGGGCCAATCTTGGTCCGTTTGTAGTAAGATGATTAATTGGTGTTAATCGTGATACTACACACTATCGGTATGATAAAGAGCCTACTGGTGTAACACATAGAAGATAATTTAAGAGCTAGTTTATAAAAAGGGTGTTTTTATCTTTTTAGGCAAAAGGGTATTTTGGTAATCTCACAATGCAATTAAATTTGCTGAGGTTGTAGCCTTTATTTAATTTAATATTAAAATTAAATAAGTAAGATTACGTTTAAATATTTGTTCGCATATATTTAAATAAATTATCATTATTGTTAAATGTTAATATATATATTAATTGAATTTAATTGAGATAATGATAATTAAAATTAAAATATCTAAATGGGGTTGTTTGGATACAAGGGGTGTTTGGGTTGGTGCCCAAGTCTATTCCATGATGGAATAGGGCAAAGTGTGCACTATATAAGTGCAACACTTTGTGAATTAAATAATTTAATTCATTCAATCATTTAGACTAAAATTCCAGCCTCCTTTTCTCTCTTCCCATGCTAGTTTGCCTTCTTGGTTGAATCAAATATTATTTGATTCCTTCTTGGTTCTTGTGGCTAAAGAGGATCTAGTAAATCCCTCTTTAGTTCCTTAGGTTTATCTTCGTGTAGACTACATTGGTTTGATCATACTCTTGGGTCGGTAGCAAAACCCGTTCAGAGACAAGTTAGAGGAGCCTCCAAACGTGTGTATGATTTCTTAACTCTAGACTGAATTTTCTGCAGATTTTAATATAATGTATAAACTGTAAATTTGTGCCCTGATCTTGGTTATAAGGAATGATCCATGTTGTAAATAATTTTTGTTTTCCGCTGCCATGTATGATCGTTTCCTAACAAAATGTTCATGTACTTTTTGGTACCCAAATGGTCTTGGGTCCATGGGAGTTTCGAGCGTTCCTTTAGGAATCCAAATCCCTTTTACCACAAAAGGCTTGCCTTTCCTAATGGGACATTTATGTGCGTTATGACCAACATACTTGCAAAAAACCACACTAATACATGGTTCATGCGTTTTGTTAAAAGGTTTCTCATTTAAAAACATGTTATAGTCTAAACCTTCTTTGTTCGAAGCACATCTTTGTGAAGCAAGCGTTTCATCAAGTCTTTGACTATCCAAAGTGAACTTGCTTAAAATCTCTTTTGTGTTGTCAAGCTCATTTCTCAAATCAATGTTTTCTTTTTGCAAAGCATCACAAACAATTCTATAATCATCAAATTCTCTTTGCAAAACGATTTATCACATGACACACAATCAAGTTCATTTTTAAGCCCTTCAACATTACGCAAAAGTTGCTTATACTCAACATTCATTATGCATGCTTGATTTTTCAGCTTTCTATTCTTTAAAGACAATTTTTCAAATTCTTCTATTAATGACTCAAATGCACTTTGTAATTCATCAAAAGAATAGTGTTGAGAGCCTTTTTCCTCTGATTCAGAGTTTCCTTATGCATCATCTTCTTTGGCATGAAACAAAGGTTGGCTTGCTCTTCATTTGACTCATCTTCATTGCTTGAGTCATCACTTTCACTCCATGTGGCGGCAAGAACCTTTTTCTCGTAGAATTTTTCCTTCTTCTTCCATTTGGCTTGAGGACAATCTTGACGAATATGACTGGGCTTTTTACATCCATGGCAAATTATCTCTGATTTGCCTTTGTCATCTTCATTTCTAGGTTTGAATCATTAGAATTCTTCCCTTTGAACCTTTTGTTCCTTCCAAGAAACTTTGTGAACCTCTTTGATAAGAAGTTGATTTCATCTTCTTCCATAGAAGAATCATCACCTTCTTGTTCTTTATCCATGGTCTTGAGGGCAATCTCCCTCTTTGGTTTACTCTCTTTGTGTCTTGGCTTTCTCTTCATCTCAAATGTCAATAAGGTACCAATGAGCTCATCCATTTTTCATTTTGGTGAGATCTTTTGATTCTTCAATCACGGTCACTTTCATTATCCAACTTTTTAGCAATGGAGGATGGATCTTCTTTACAAGCTCAAGAGTCGCAAAACTCTTTCCAAGACCTTTGAGATCATTTATCAAGTTGGAGAATCTCTTGTACATGTCAGTTATGCTTTCTCTGATTTTCATCTCAAACAACTCATAGTCACGGAATAGTATTTCAATCTTTGATTCCTTCACTTGACTTGTTCCTTCATGAGTGATTTGAAGAATTTCCCAAGCATTTTTAGCCGTTTCACATGCCGAAACTTTTCCAAACTCTATAGAATAAAGAGAGCAAAACAAAATGTTGACTACTTTGTCATTTAAGTTCAATTTCTTTTCATCTTCAGCTGTATAATGTTCTTCCTCTTTAGGAAGACCTGTTTTGTCATTCATGGGAACGAAGTTCCCTTGCTCAACTATTTTCCACAAGTTATAGTCTATAGTTCTAAATCGGAGTCTCATTCTAATTCTCCATTGTGTGTAGTTTGTACGACAAAACAATGGGGGTCTAATAGTGCAATGACTCTCACCAAACAATTGTGTAGATGAACTAACCATGTAGATTGATTGACTCTTGAAATTTTTATGTCTTCAAGAGCCCAAGCTCTAATACAAATTGTTAGATCCTAAATATGGCTAATATTCATAGAGAGAGAGAGGGGGGGGGGGGGGGGGGGGGGGGGGGGTGGGGGGGGGGTGGGGGGGGGGGGGGGGGGGGGGGTGGGGGGGGGGGGGGGGGGGGGGGGGGGGGGGGGGGGGGGGGGGGGGGGGGGGGGGGGGGGGGGGGGGGGGGGGGGGTGGGGGGGGGGGGGGGGGGGGGGGGGGGGGGGGGGGGGGGGGGGGGGTGGGGGGGGTGGGGGGGGGGGGTGGGGGGGGGGGGGGGGGGGGGGGGGGGGGGGGGGGGGGGGGGGGGGGGGGGGGGGGGGGGGGGGGGGGGGGGGGGGGGGGGGGGGGGGGGGGGGGGGGGGGGGAGTGATAGGAATCAATAAAAATATCCGATGAGTAAAACTTATCAATAAAAGTTAAAGCAAATGGTGAGTTTATAAAAAAAATAGTTCAATGACTAAACTCAACATCCAAAGTATGATAGAGTTAATGATAATGCAAATGAGCAATAAATGAACTCAAAAAAGAACAATAAATGAAATCAACTTGTAGGCAATAAATATGAACAAGTGAAATAAATGATGTTCAACCAACAACTATGCAATGAATGATAAAGAGTTGAGAGAGAGAGAGAAACGCTCAAGGATTTATATTTGTTCGGAGCTATATCCACAAGCCTCCTACATCTACTTCTTCAAGGCAACCTCCTTGAAGTTCCACTAGAATCTGGTTGTGCCACTACAATAATTTTCACAAGGATTTTCATCTCACACACTTAGATTTACAGGATTGCACCTAGTTTTACAGGATTGCACCACTAAGGAATGAATCAAAGTTGTTTGTGACTGATTGTCTCTTAAAAGTAGGCTTATACACACAATAAGAACAAGTGAACTCTCAAAGGTTTACCCAATGAGTACGAGTGAGAGTATTTGATTTGGATCTTAAGCTTTAGGGATTATATGAGAATGTATTCTGATTTAGTATGACTCTTCTCTCTCTTTTTCCCTAAAAACATCAAGCTTTTATAAACCTAAAAAGATTAGCCATTGCAGCATTTAATGCAATTATGATAAAGTCTGTAGAGCCTAGAGGAATAGTCGTTCTTGACAAAACAATCATTTTTCTCAGATCTAGGTTAACTAGAATGGTCATTCCACCATGCCGTATATGTTAGAGTAGATGCCCTAGAGTCAATCAATTATTGTAGAATGGACTCTTTATAATAATGTTCATTGATCAATAAAAGGCGTTTTATACTATATCACGTAATACATCATTGTATGTATTGATATATGTCACGAGGGTATCACGTGTTTCAAATCTTGATAGTGAGAACCCTATGAGCACATATGGTGGCCATTTTACCCTGTCGAAAGGCAGTGACTGATCTCATTTGTCAAGGTTGTTTGATAACAACCTGGTGCAACACATGGGTGCTTGCTGTAAGCAAGTTCACTGGACTGACCCACCAGAGGATTCCATATGGATGGTAACCCTAGTGTCTATGGAACAAATCCTCTAAACGAATGTTGGTGCATGTGATCCTTAGACTTGAGATCACTAGAGTGCCTTGTGCACTGATTGGTGTAGTTTGACACTAGCCTAACACAGTTCTATTCAGAGCTGTCAATACGGTAGTGATTGGCTACATCAAGGAGTGTATCAAGACTATGGTAGATAGATAGAGGATTCATCACTCTCAGGTATGGGATAAGTTATCTCACGGTGCAATTTAGTAAATGGCAATGACACTAAAACTGTGGCCACAGTGGGATTGAGTTGTTGCTCTATCCAGTTTATAATACGGGTCATTGGTCCAGAAACTGAATAAATAATATCGAGAGTAACCGAAGGTTGACACTATTTCTATGCCTTCGTCTCGTCGAGATAACGTATGATGAAAGGATCGAATTGTACGGTAACCATATCGTTGACAGGTAGCTACTTTGCTGAATCCGAATCTATCGGGTGGCCATGATGCCTTGCTAGGGGCCAATCTTGGTCTGTGTATTAGTGAGACGATTAATTGGTGTTAATCGCAATACTATACACTGCCGATATGATGAGGAGCCTAAGGGTCACACACATAGAAGACAATTTAAGATGCAAGAAGAAAGAAGGGCGTTTTCGTCTTTTAAGGCGAAAGGGTATTTTGGTAATTTCACAGTGCAATTAAATTTGCTGAGGTCGTAGCCTTTATTTAATTTGTTAGAAAAATTAAATAAGTGAGATTACGTTTAAATATGTGTTCGCATATATTTAAATAAATTATCATTATTGTTAAATATTAATATATTAAATATATATTAATTGATTTTAATTGAGATAATCATAAACAAAATTAAAATATCTAAATGGGAGTATTTGGAAACAAGGGGTGTTTAGGTTGGAGCCCAAGCCTATTCCATAAGGGAATAGGGCAATTAAACTTGCACTATAAAAGAAAAGGTTTAATTTAGAGAGAAAAAGATTTTTCATTATTTCATTTCACTCATTGAAAGAAAACTTTCCAGCCCAAAAAACACTCTCCCACGCCAGATTGCTTTTTGCTTAGAATCAAAGTATTCTTTGATTTTTCTTTCTTGTTTCTTAATGCTAAAGAGGATCTAGCAAATCCCTCTTTAGTTCCTTACGATTATCTTCATGTGCACTACATCAATTCGATCCTACCCTTGGGTCGGTAGTAAATTAAGTTCAGAGACAAAGTTGGAGGAGTCTCCAAATGTGCGTATGATTTCTTAAACTCTAAACTAATTTTCTGCAAATTCTTATTTTTATATAAACTGTAAATTTGTGCCCTGATCTTAGTTCTAAGTAACGATCTATGTCGTAAATGTTTTTGTATTTCCGCTGCGTCAATAGATCATTTACTAACAGTATGATCATGCAGGGACACTGCACAATTATTCCACCACGCAGAACGAACACATCTAGATGCTTTCCCAAATCTTTTTGAATTTCTAGAGGAGTGATTGACCTCTTGGAACGATGTGCAAAATTCTTCAGATACGAACGGTCATTCCACCACAGGGAACAATCATTCTACCACAAGGAACAGTCATTCCAATTTTGAACTTTGATTTTTGACTTTGACATTTGAGATGAAGTCAAGAGCACGAAGCGATTTGAATTTGAAATATCTTGACTTTTAAACTTGAGTGCACGCTCGTGCAGGTTGGTCGTACGAGTTTAGTCTGGTCATGCAAGTGCCACTCAACTTGGTAGAAAGATTAATGACCAAGAGGAACGGTGTCGTATGACATTGCATGGCAACTTTCTCTTAAGGCACGGTCATGCCTTGCTTACACATGGTCCTACCTAAGCAAAAATTTGCTTATGCATGGTAATACCACATGATAAACCTGTTTTGTTTTGGTTATGACTTATGTCATACCTTAGCATGTTACGGTTAGTGTTCAATCAAATTTTTGGGTTGTTTTGGCACATCAAAACACATGAGAGGTCAACATGATGAAAACCAAAAAATTTGATCGTTTGATCTAACTTTTTGTTCCAAGACCTCGATGCCTATATAAGTCTATAAATGAGTTTCAATAGCTTGCAAACCTTTTCCTCTTGGTTCATCTCTATGAAACCTTTGGATTGCTCTATGTAAATGGTTTTGTCTAGACTCTCATTCAAAAATGCAGTGTTGATGTCCATTTTCCAAATTTCATAATCATAAGAGAATGCGAATTGACTTAAGCATGTCCATTAGTGAGAAAGTGTCTTCATAGGCCACCCCCTCCATTTGGGTATAACCCTTAGCGACTAGCCTAGCTTTGAAGGTCTCTACCTTCCCATCAGTTCCTATCCTTATCTTATATACCCATTGTTTTTACGAAAAATCGCACCAACGAGAGAGATTTGATTGACCATGATGAAATCGGAACGGATGTGTGCATGATTAACAAAAATTAGCAAAGGAATAAAAAAAGAGCAACAAAATAAGAACACTAATTAATTTTTAAAGTGGTTTGGCAAGTTTGATCTTGAGCCTACATGTAACGACTCCATTCTTATAAAAACATGCATAGTAAAAGTACATGTAAAAATAACATAAAAAGTTGGGCCCAAAATTTTTCTTTTATTAAACATATGTATTCTTTATACTAATATATAAAAGATCTGTAACATATGCAAAACTATCAAAATAGGGTGGACAGTGTAGCCATTTCTCTTCGTGTGCCGATGTCCATCCGACTGTGTCCTCATCTAGAACCTGCAAAACATAGGGAACAACTGGATGAGCACAAACAATGCTTAGTAAGTAAACCCATCTACTCAAATATCTCCGTAACTCTTTCTTTAATCTAACTATCTATTTTCTCTTTCTCATGACTCCTTCATACTAACTTTCTTTCTAGTAAGTCACGGCCTCATCTGACCGGAGGCACGGCTGGGACTCACTCCCACTCCCTGTGACTTCTACTCAATTTAGCCGATCGGACTTGGTTATGCATGGATTTGGAACCCTTGGCTATGTGAGTGCATAGAATCTCTCGGGTAAACTCGGGTATAGCCCTCATCCGCATGTACTCTACGGGCTACACCACTTCTCTCTCTGATATTCTTGCCGCTTTCTCTATGCGGCGTACATGTGGGAATACTCTACCCGTACTCACAGGTTCCCCATCGCACAACCTACTCTATTCTCTTATTAAGCATTACTCTAGCTTTTACTCTATAGTGCTCATTCTCTCTTTCTCTTTACTCTTAGAGTAGTCTAAACTCAAAAGTCTCTACTCTTTCTCTACTCTCTTTTCTAGCGCATAAGTAAAGCATAGTCAATGTACATAAATGACTCATACTCATTAATGCATTTATGAAAAGCAACTATGACATGTAGCAAC